GTTTGTGTTTCGCGTCTCAGAGGAAGAGGAGGAGTGTGATGAAGATGAAGATGAGGTGGATGAAGAGCGTCTGGAGCCTCGATCAGATGATGAAGACACGTGAGTGAGACGCACTGAGAGAGACGAGACATCTGAGAATCACTGAGACTGACCCTGCTTCCCTTCTTCAGGAACTTTGAGGAGTCCGAGGACGAGCTGCGGGACGAGGTGAGCGACTCCATGAGGAACCTCCTCACCACACAGGAGCAGGAGCAGGAGCTGGAGGAGCAGACGGCACAGGAAACACAGCAGGAAGTGAACCGCAGATCACAGGAAGTGAGCGAGGAGATGCAGCCACCCGCTCATGCTGAGTCTGGGAAAAACACTGCAGTGAACTGATCCTGCGGTTTTCCTTCTTTTTCTTTTTCATTCTGTGTGAATCTCTGTTAAACTAATGTATTCCTGTGATGCGCAGCTGTATTTTCAGCATCATTCCTCCAGTCTTCAGTGTCACATGATCTTCAGAAATCAGTATAATATGCTGCTCTGCTGCTCGAGAAACATTTCTGATTATTAGCAATGTTGAACACAGTCGTGCTGCACAATATTTTTGTGGAAACTGTGATGCATTTTATTTTTCAGGATTCACAGATGAACAGAGAGTTCAGAAGAACAGCATTTATTTGAAACGGAAATCTTTTGTTACATTTACTGTCACTTTTCATCAATTTAATGCAAACGTGATTAATAGAAGTATTCATTTCTTTCCACAAAAGTTTGTCAAGCTTCAAATTCAGCTTTGCATCAAGGAAGAAATTACAATAGAACATGTTTTTGTGTTATAATATTTTACAGCTTTTCCTGTGTTTTTGATCAAATAAATGGATTCTTCATCAGCAGAAGAGTTTTAGCTTCGCTTGTGCTCTGCAAACAGAGTTTGAGGACTTTCTGTGTGTAGTGTTTCTAGTGTTCTGACGGATGTTCTAACGGTTTCTCATTTAAACTCCAGACGTTACTGCATGGGTTCGATTCATTTATTCAAGACTTTTATTTAGAGAACATGTTCATTCACTCATGTTTGCTGAACATCTCCACGTGTCATTTTGACTGTTAAATGAATTGTCTTCACAGTTTTTCACTAAAACGAACACATGCCTTGATTCTTTGAACTAGATTTTACTGTATTTTACTTTTTGCAAGAAACACTTTGAATCGGACTACAATGACTGATCAAATATTTTTCAAATAATTTCAGTAACAGATTTTCTTTTCCTTTTGTTTTTCTGTAAAGCTGTGGAAGTTTATTGTATTGTACAAAGCACTGAATAAATTGACTTTTATTTGACTATCAAAAGAATGAAAAATATAATAGGAAATGTTTATGAATCATATACAGCAGTATAACACATTTCATGTGAGCAGGACAGTGTTTGGGCTTGAGAGGAAGTTCCAAACCGTCCGAATGAAAGAAGTATTTTACGTGATTTGTCCTCTGAAGGTGTTTTAAAGAAGTGTAAACGCTGCAGTTCTGCAGGAGAATAAAGTGGCTCTTGTCTGATCAGACTGCATCTGGTTGTTCGAGATGATGTTGGTTTGATTCCTGAATCTGTGGAGACACGCAGGAGAACAGCAGCAGAACATGACCGGGACGGACGGAAGCCCAAACACGCTGTGAGCGGGACGAATGAGCTTGAGACCCGCGCCGAACATGGGACCCCTGCAAGCGTCACACACACCAGCACTGAAACACACACATCACACACAGTGTGTTAAATACTTCACTATATCAACCCTCTTCCAGCAGCTCAGACAACAACAGTCACACTTCTGCTAACAGTGTATAGATACATAGAGAGCGTTTTGAATCCTTAAAACATGTCATTATGTAGCTGAAGTTTCTTATGATCAACATTGGCTGCATTCACACTGAAGTTCAGTACAGTGTCAGACCTCTTCTTTATATATATATATTATCTCATTTATTTTAAATTTTCAAGACCTATAGACCGGGGGGAAAAAAAGAGCAAGAAAGTTATAAATTTGGAATTTTCAGCACATAAAAAACGGAACATAAAAAAGAGCTGTCACGTGTTCAAACATGAACAGAAGAAACTCCACAGGGTTTCACACACAGAGAGTCTTAAGGCCGTCTGAAATCACCTTTTACACCGGGCTTGAAAAACAAACGTCTTCCGATTGAATGACAAGATGCATTTAATATAGAAACAGCTGAAGCAAAGCCTCGAATTATGATCTTGTTCATAAGAGCATTAACGAGGTTCAGAGTTATTCAGTCATTTATGTGTTAAACACATCTACACAGTATCAGTGTGAACTGAACCCAGCTGAACAGCTGTGCGTGTGTGTGTGTGTGTGAGTGAGTGAGTGAATGTGTGTGTGTGTGAGTGAGTGAGTGAATGTGTGTGTGTGTGAGTGAGTGAGTGAATGTGTGTGTGTGTGAGTGAGTGAGTGAATGTGTGTGTGTGTGAGTGAGTGAGTGAATGTGTGTGTGTGTGAGTGAGTGAGTGAATGTGTGTGTGTGTGAGTGAGTGAGTGAATGTGTGTGTGTGTGAGTGAGTGAGTGAATGTGTGTGTGTGTGAGTGAGTGAGTGAATGTGTGTGTGTGTGAGTGAGTGAGTGAATGTGTGTGTGTGTGAGTGAGTGAGTGAATGTGTGTGTGTGTGAGTGAGTGAGTGAATGTGTGTGTGTGTGAGTGAGTGAGTGAATGTGTGTGTGTGTGAGTGAGTGAGTGAATGTGTGTGTGTGTGAGTGAGTGAGTGAATGTGTGTGTGTGTGAGTGAGTGAGTGAATGTGTGTGTGTGTGAGTGAGTGAGTGAATGTGTGTGTGTGTGAGTGAGTGAGTGAATGTGTGTGTGTGTGAGTGAGTGAGTGAATGTGTGTGTGTGTGAGTGAGTGAGTGAATGTGTGTGTGTGTGAGTGAGTGAGTGAATGTGTGTGTGTGTGAGTGAGTGAGTGAATGTGTGTGTGTGTGAGTGAGTGAGTGAATGTGTGTGTGTGTGAGTGAGTGAGTGAATGTGTGTGTGTGTGAGTGAGTGAGTGAATGTGTGTGTGTGTGAGTGAGTGAGTGAATGTGTGTGTGTGTGAGTGAGTGAGTGAATGTGTGTGTGTGTGAGTGAGTGAGTGAATGTGTGTGTGTGTGAGTGAGTGAGTGAATGTGTGTGTGTGTGAGTGAGTGAGTGAATGTGTGTGTGTGTGAGTGAGTGAGTGAATGTGTGTGTGTGTGAGTGAGTGAGTGAATGTGTGTGTGTGTGAGTGAGTGAGTGAATGTGTGTGTGTGTGAGTGAGTGAGTGAATGTGTGTGTGTGTGAGTGAGTGAGTGAATGTGTGTGTGTGTGAGTGAGTGAGTGAATGTGTGTGTGTGTGAGTGAGTGAGTGAATGTGTGTGTGTGTGAGTGAGTGAGTGAATGTGTGTGTGTGTGAGTGAGTGAGTGAATGTGTGTGTGTGTGAGTGAGTGAGTGAATGTGTGTGTGTGTGAGTGAGTGAGTGAATGTGTGTGTGTGTGAGTGAGTGAGTGAATGTGTGTGTGTGTGAGTGAGTGAGTGAATGTGTGTGTGTGTGAGTGAGTGAGTGAATGTGTGTGTGTGTGAGTGAGTGAGTGAATGTGTGTGTGTGTGAGTGAGTGAGTGAATGTGTGTGTGTGTGAGTGAGTGAGTGAATGTGTGTGTGTGTGAGTGAGTGAGTGAATGTGTGTGTGTGTGAGTGAGTGAGTGAATGTGTGTGTGTGTGAGTGAGTGAGTGAATGTGTGTGTGTGTGAGTGAGTGAGTGAATGTGTGTGTGTGTGAGTGAGTGAGTGAGTGTGTGAGTGTGTTACCTGTTCAGGATGACCCGTGCGGTGGGCAGCAGGTGTGTGTAGCGCTGCTGTGTGTGTGTGTGTGCGAGTGTGTGTGCAGCCGTGTGCAGCAGCGTCTGAGGAGAGTTGCAGCTGTTCTCGCTCCACAGTAACACGTGTGTGTAATTCCCAGACATCCTGAGCTCCGACACAGACACACGGAGCAGACCGGCGGGAAGAGCCACTAACTGATTCCCTTCAACATTCAGAGACCTCAGAGACCTGAAGGAACACACACACAAACACACACCACACAGAATATACCATTGGAATATATCAATATCATTGGAATCACTTTCAGAGTAATTTTTCCAGCTGATCAACTATAAAAACTTCGACAGCCAATCAGAATCCACCCTGCTTTAAAGAGCTCAAGCATTCAATGTGGCAGATGACAAAACTTGCATTAATAACAGAGTGTTACCTGTTTAGTTATTATGTTTATCATTATAGTTAATGCTATAGTTGTTGTTAAATTTATCATTATAGATATCGGTAGATATCATTACAGTTATCGCTATAGTTATTGTTTTATTTATCATTATAGTTATCTGTAGATATCACTAGAATTATCACTATAGTTTTTGTTTTATTTATCATTATAGTTATCGGCAGATATTGTTAGAGTTATCACAAATAGTTATTGTTTTATTTATCATTATAGTTATCTGTAGATATCACTAGAATTATCACTATAGTTTTTGTTTTATTTATCATTATAGTTATCGGCAGATATTGTTAGAGTTATCACAAATAGTTATTGTTTTATTTATCATTATAGTTATCGGCAGATATTGTTAGAGTTATCACAAATAGTTATTGTTTTATTTATCATTATAGTTATCACTATATTTACTGTTATATTTATCATTATAGTTACGGTAGTTATCACTATTGCACTGCTATTGTACGGTATTGTTATAATTACTGTTATTTGATCATAGTTATTGTTATATTTATCACTATTGTTATCAGTAGATATCATTATAGTTATTGCTATAGTTATCATTATATTAAGCATTGTAGTCATTGGTTTAGGTGTGAACAGGCCTTTAGTCTGAGTGAATGATGTGGTATCACTTTATTGTTAGTTAAAACTGAATGAACTCCAGAGCTTGACCTGAGGTGTCTGATGTCACTGCTGAGGGATCTGAGGAGATTATAGGACACGTCCAGATGCTGCAGACACGGAAGAGAGTACAGCCTACACACACACACACACACACACACAAATAAATCACGTCAGAGTAGTTTTTTACAGTAATGATTACAGTAACAAGGACATAATTAGAATCTTCTTTGAAAATAATTTGTAAAAATCTGGATGTATTACAGTAATGAGGATTTTGGAGGAAAACGTTGGTGTGTGTGTGTGTGTGTGTGTGTCAGAGTGTGTGTGTGTGTTTCTCTCACTGCTCGGGCAGCTGTGTGATCTTGCAGAAGGAGACGACCAGCGTCTGGAGCTTGTGGAGTTTGCTGATTTGAGCAGGAAGCTCCTCGATGGGGTTATTCCTCATCTTCAACACCCGCAGCTGATGAAGATCACACACCTGAGAGAGGAAGACGAGGGACCACGTCAAACAACAGCACATGATGTGCATCATGACAGAAATCACAACGACTGTAAGGAACCTCCTGAGGAACGTGTGTGAGGTGATTGAAGGACACGTTCAGATACTGGAGACGTTCAGTCAGTGACGACACGTCAGGAAGATCACAGATGAAATGAGCCTGTGGGGGAAACACACTACATTAATAATATTTCATAAAGTCATTACTATTAATAGTATGAAAATTAGGGCTGTCAATTTAAT